AGGGTTTAGGGTTTGCCGTAGAGAGGCGCATATGCTAGATATCTTGCGACAGCATGGTGATTCGCCGCTAGAGCCCGATTGTGAAGGGCTCTTTCCTTTTTCTCTCCCACCCTCCATGACGTCTGAGGCAGCCAAACCACCCAAACCTGCTCGTTTTGCTGTTTCGCTCTACAAACTCAAAGGGCAGGGCAGGGCAGGGCAGCAGGGAAGTCGGCAAGGGGCCTCCTTGGGGTTTAGGGTAAAGAGAAGCAGGGACCAGTACTAGTCCCTACAAAACGTGTTTCGGCCTTTCGCAATCGGTTGTGAGGGGCTGCAGCGCTGCCCACCCCCAGTAATGTTTAGGATTTAGGGTTTAGGGTACAGGGCTGGTCAGTTTTTGTTTGCTCCTTGGGGTTCCCTATTATAAGTACATTGTAATATACCCCAAAACCGGATTCCAAATGTCAAGGTCCCCAAACCCTGGTGTCACAGGGCTGTTCGGAAGGGTTTCGTAGGGTTCTTGGAATTTTGAAAGGGCCGTAGATGGATTAGAGGGGTTCAGGGTTTAATGTTACAGGGGCCTAAACAATGACCTAAACAATGACCAGTACTATTTTTGGGCCCCTTATAGTCATGGTACAATACACTCCGAAACCCCCGTCTAATCATGATGATGCCTAAACCCTAAACCCTAGGCACAAGATTACACGAGAGTGATCGGAACAATCCAAATCACGCGTGCACTACCACATGTGCCACAAATGGCATCGTTCTTTCAGCAGATTACCTGCGACCCCGCAATGCGCTTTCGACAATGGTTTAGTCAAGACCTCGAGTTTATTGGCTTGAGCTTCATTGCATCGCATCGTCCGCAGTACATTCACTCTGCAGACTTTATGGGTACCTTGATGTTTTATCTCATGCGCGACGAGAATCGCGCAGAGAGCTGTTTCATGGGCTCTGATAGTCAGACCCCAGCTGAACCAGCACATCCATCACAACGCGCCACTAATCCAGGCCATTTGGCTGGTGGTGGAACTGTAGCACAGGCAACTGCTGCTACGGATGCGTTCTTCAATGACATATTCCTCGGAGTAGGAGGAGCTGATCTCATCTCCCGTTGCCTCGATGAATATGCGAAGATCGTGGTCTTGATGAGAAAGCATAAAACCCTGACACCCTCGAGACTGCCGGTTTAGGGTTTAGGTGGCTTTAGGGTTTAGGGTTTAGGGTAATTGATTCCCCCAAGCCCCGAGCTTCTGAGACCTTCAATCCAAAATCCGCAGCTGAACCCTGAACTTGAAATTGAGTTCCAAACTCCTAAGCGGAACCCTCAAATTTAGCTTGGGCTAGTTTGGGGTGACCCTGCACCCAAGACCCTAAACTGCACCCAAACCCCTGAACTTTGACTTCGGGTGGCTCAGGCGACTTCCCCAAAGCCCACGCCCCAAGTCTTTGCTGCACCCAGGAACTGTTCGCCAGGAACGGAAGTGGTGGAAGCTTGGCCCAGCATTAATTCGAACCCTAAAGCCCCAAACCCGAAGCTCAGATAGTACTTACGTCTAGCACATTCAGGCCTCATAGCCAGCCCTTAATTTATGTAGCCATTACGACCGAACTCAGGGATGCTGCCCTCTGAACCTTCCAGTGTCCAAGTTTGGAGTTTAGGGTTTAGGGTTTCGGGCTCTGCAGCTCAGGATTGTCGCACCCCGTGGCTGGCCGTTTGTTGAATGAGCCGGAAAAGGGGCGCCATTTGCGCAGCTTCAAACTGTCACAAACCCAGAGGGTCCATATATACTACCATTCCGGATTTGGGTCCCAAAAGACCATTCATATTAGGGTTTTGGGGACCTAATTCCATAATGGTAGTATATATGGACCCTTAGGGAAAGGGAGCCTAATTTCAAGGTTTGGTCATCTGATACTTTCTGTTTACACCGTTTTTCCTGCAAGGACGACTTGTTGCACACCCCCGGGACCGATGACACTTTTTCGAAGCCTCTGGTACACGAAGCCAATGCCTCCTGCCGATCTTCACCCTAAGCCCTAACACCCTAAACCCTATACCCTAAACTTTTAACCCCTAAACCCGAAACCCTAAACTTTTAAACCCTAAACCCTAATCCCTAACACCCTTAACCGTTGACATGGGATTTAGGCCTTCGGCCCAAAGATCTTGAGCATGAGTTTAGTAAACGACGGTAGTCAAGGTCAGAAAGTCGGACCATGGGTTCAGGGAAACTCGAGCTGGGATTCCTTATCTTAGCCCAGAGGCTCCATGTATACTACCATTATGGAATTAGGCTCCAAAAGACCATCCTTATTATGGTTTTGGGGACCTAGTTCCATCATGGTGGTATACATGGAGCCTCTGGGTAAGGGCATGACTTTTATAGCAATGTTCCAACTTGCTTCGTTTCTCGTTACCCTAAACTGTAAGTGCCTGTGTCTGGCGTCAGTAGCCACTGTAGGGGTCTCTTGGAGGCTCCCCGGAGAGACCATGCCGTAGAAACAGCCCGGCAGCCTTGGATGCAAAGTGGGGCGGTTTAGGGTTGAGGGTTTAGGGGCCAGCGACACAGACAGCTGAAGTGATCTGGGCCGATGGTGAGGATGCTGGGTCGACTTCTCAAATCATCTTCTTCCCCAACCTGGTACTGGTACAACGATACGAAAGTCCATACAGTTGACATGCCCCAAGCCCTTTCAACCCTAAGCCCGAAACCCCCAGCCAAAAAACCCAAAGCCCCAACACCCAAGCCGCAAACCCCAACCCTTAACCCTCTCAGGTCTCTGCAAACCGTCACACTTTCCGTGCCCACCAACAGTCGTGCCGCGTACAAGCGCGTTTTTAAGAATGGCTGCTGGAAGTTAGGCTTACTTTCCTTCTCAAGCCGCAGGCCGAATGCGCATGGCGCGCAGTCACATCTGCAAATACTCTTCCGGATGCAATGAGTCTTACAGCAGTCACAGCCCCAAGTTTAACATAGCTAAGCTTCGCGTCAGGTGGGCATTGTGGGTCACATTATACAGGAAGTATCTTCAATCATATATATATATATGCGCATATGTACCTATATATATATATATATAATAATAATAGTTATTATTATCACATTTCATTATACTATATTACAGTATAGTATAGTATATTCTGCGACATTATTTCATTTTATAGTATATCATATTTCATCATATTATATTAGATTCTAATACATTTTGTATGTATTCAGATCTTTTTTATATGCATACTAAGTTATATAAAATTACATTATATTACTATATATTTTGTTCAAATATGTTTAGCATATCAAGTTTCTGTATGTTATAAAGTATTACACTAAGATATGTTATATTTCAATTAGTTATATTATGTTATATGTTCATATGTTAGATTTTATGATAATATATTATGGGCTTTCCAGGTCTTAAGTGAGAACGCCATGCTTGGTAGTTCTGTGCGAGGAAGCAGCACGCGTCGTGTTTGGCGGCCTGTGCAGGCAGACTCTGAAACCGATGTTTCAACAGAGTTCTCTCCACGCATTCACGACCAAGATGTGGGTCCTCGTGGACCGGATGGCGAACGCGGCACTTGCTATGCGTTTGCAGTAGCAACAGCAATCCGCAGTGCCCAGATGCGCATATTCGGTCGTGCAGTAGAAAAGCACTTGGCACTTGTGGACGAGATTACGCGAGAGTTTGGCTGCGATGGAGCCGACGTATCCGCAGTGTTGAATGCCTTGTGCCCACGCAAGAAGCTACACCACATGCCCATCAGCAGAGATGAAGCAGCACAGGTAGTGCAGGCTACGTCGCGAGTTGTACTTGCAACATTCTGGTTGACCCATGCAGCATGGAGGCGTTTCGCACGATTTTTTGATCGGCATCCAGATGAAAGTCTTCAGCGACGACATCTCTTTGCAACCCCACAGGAGCGGCAGGCTCCAGGTGAAGGACATGCCGTAGTCATCGTTGGTGCATCGGAGCAAGATTGGTTTGTCAAGAACTCCTGGGGCGACGCCTTTGCACATGAGGGCTACTTCCACGTCCGCAAGAATGCGATTGCCTTCGAATTTCACGACGTCTTTTTCTACACCAGTGATCTCACCAGAAATGAGACCGCCGCTTACTGGCAGGCACCAGCTGTTTTGGAGGTTTGCATCCAACAGCCCCGAAGATCACCACGCAATCCAATATCATCACTAGGATGGGAAATAGATTTTGAGACGTTAAGAATTGAGAGAGTGCGAAAAAGAAACTGCAGCATTGCCTATTGGAACCGCGAGAACCCTTTCAAGAAAGTGATGCCCGGATACCTGATATCGTCTGTGAACGGCAGCGAAAACCTCGAGGAAATGATCTACCACTTGCAGCACGCGGACCAGTTGGAGATTGTCCTTAATGTAGCCGCTGCAGCTAAGATTCCGGATATTTGCGAAAAGCATGCCAGATGCTATTCATGCGCGCATGGGGTTGCCGCAGCAATTTGCCATGCGCAGAGCCGTATTTTCGGTCGCCCAGTAGAGCAACATGGCAAGCTTGCTAGCGAACTGATTGATCGGTGGGGCTGTGAAAGTGCAGATGTCCGTGGCATCCTGAACGATGCTTGTGGCTCAAGGGGTCTGCATTACGAGGAACTTGATCTTGTTGAAACAGGCGACATCGTTCCACGCAGGCATGTACTTGCAAGCTTTGAGCTGGACGAAGCTTCCTGGCAGGTGTTGGAGGCTTGTTTACGATACCCTGCAGAGGCTTCAACTGTTCCCTTGAGGGCCTGTGACATCCAAAGTGACCGTACAGCAACGCAACAGCGAGCTGCTTTTTTCATATGTGGACAGGGCTACAGCAATGGTTTCGACGTGGAGTTCTGGTTTGTCATGGACCTGTTGGGCCGTAGGATGAAGGTGGAAAAACACGCCTTGCAGCTTCGGTACTACGATGTTTTCTTCTACATCAGTGACCTGTCGGAAGCAGAAATCTCTTTGTTCAACAGCGCAGCCCGCGTACTTGATGTCGAGATCAAGAGAGCTAGCACCTGGATCAAGGGACTGGAACCCCTGGGTTGGACCGTTAACCGCAAAACTCTTCAAGTGGAGTGGACTGCATCATGGGGCCCCATTGCGGACTACAATAGCGCAGTGAGTCTTGATCAGCAAGTTCACCCTGGCCACATCATCCAATGTGTGAACGGGGCAGTACGCCCTGAATGTATCTTCTGGGAGCTGGAGCAAGCAAATGTTTTGAGAATCCGCCTTGCGAAAATGCAAGACACGCTTCTGATAAATTCTTGGTAGGTTAATTGTTGCTACCTGGAGACATGGTCAGCATTGCGAGCCAGAGACAGATTCAGACGCCGGAGAAGGTCAACAGTTACGCTCGAGGGAGTTTCAGGCTTGAGCAAAAGACGTGCGTCTGCCTCTTGACTTACATATACTACACTAAAGAAGTCTAGACAATTTCTGATATTCTTCCTCCGTGTCTCAGGGTTCCTTACTATATGATTATACCTCAAACGCATTACTTGTAATCACTTTCATTGTTATTATTATTGTTAAATGCTGTCATTCTTGGTATTGACATGATTGTCATTGTTTAAATCAGTCGTAGTGTTATTGTTACCACTACATTGCGGTTTTGTCCAAGCAGCTCCCAACCTTCGCAGCATCGCTACCTCTCGCAGGTGGGCCAACATCACTTCTTCAGGGGCAAGGGCTATGGCGTGGGGCCTCATTTTCTTGCCTCGTTCCGCTATCATTTGAGCTTAAGGTTGAGCGCTTAATATAAGGGGCCTTAATCATTAGAATAGGGTTTTGGGGGTTCCTTATTAAGACTATAGTACAATATACCCCGAAGCCGTATTCTAATTAGTAAGGCCCCTATTCTCTTCTGGTTGTGATGCTTATCAGCTTGCGCAAGCAGTTGCCGAGGTATTTGTAGCAATCGCAGTGCTTGTCGTCGTTGCAGAGGAAATACTAGCGGTCGTGCTAGTTTCAATAGGAACAGCAGAATCAGAAACAGTACGAGTTTCGACAGAAGCCAGTAGCAAATCGACAGGGTATCTATTGCAATTATTTTTACTACTATTCTTCTTGCATTTATTACTACTGCTACTACTACGACGACGACTACTACGACTGCTGTCATTGTTATAATTGGATGATGACAGTAAGGATGAGTAGAAGTTATATAAGAATGACCTTGATGACAGGTATGCTTGTCAGGACGGTGACAGGGATGATGATTATGATGATGACGGCTGTGTACTTCAGAGTGAATGTGGTCACAAGGATGATGACAACGATGGTGAAATAACACGGTGATGCTACGAATGTTGACAAAGCACTAGGATGTGGTTGCACGTTCCAGGTTCTGAATCTTTCACGAGAAAGTTGAACTTGTTTTCTGTTTGAACCACAAGTCTGAGACCGAGCTGCTTATTTTTTGCTGGTTCAGTCTCTGCACTGAGTTCGAAACACCCAGCACCGAACCTTACTCTAAGTGCCTTAGTCTCAACCGTCACCCTCCTGCCCAAGCCCTTTCGCGTAGCCTCGACCTCGAAGCCAAAACGATTTAAAAATGATTCCTTTATCATCGCGGGGCAAATGGCCGAACCGCCCTGTGTTGAAGCGCCCCTAAAATAGTAGAACTCAATTAAGCCTGCAGGCTTGCTGCACTGAAAGGCTTTTCCAACCCGCAACACCAACCCTCCTCTACGTCTGAGATCCCTCTCTTCCGCCCTCGAAACCGATGTTCGACGCAAAGCAATTTGGTCTAGGACTCGGCTTTAGCGTTTTGTGCTTGGGCTTGAAGTTTCAAGGTCACTGGGGTGTGCAGCAGCAAGGCGACCACTACAGGAAGCGAGCCCCTTTTTAAGCTTGAAGCTGCAATCCTAAACCCTAAACCTTAAACCCTGAACCCCAAACCTTGAACCCTAAACCGCTAAACTCTAAGTCTTCAAGCCGGCTTTGATCTGAACCTTACATTCTGACATGCCAAAAAGAGCAGACGCCAGGCGGCGGCATGGGAGATCAGCTGTACTTCCAGGCCTGCAGCCCGAAACCCTAAACCCTAAACGGTTTAGGGTTTTGGGTTTAGGGACCCTAAACCCTAAACCCTATAAGCCCTAAGCCCTTAACCCTGAGCCTAGCTACTTGAGGGCTGGCACTGGTGTTGATTCGAGGGTTACCTAAATCTTTAACCCTCAAGCCCCAACCCCTACACCTCACAGTAGAAGCCAGAAAGTTCGAACCTCATTATCCTCATGCCCCTAATGTAAAGTATAGGGAGGCCCAGCACTAATCATCCTAAATCCATGTTCCAACTTTTTGGGGTTCATTTTGAAACCCTAGGCCCTAAACCTGAAACCCTGAACCCCTAAACCCTAAACCCGTTAACCCTAAACCCCTAAACCCCTAAACCCTAAACCCTAAACCCTAAACCCTAAACCCTGAACCCTAAACCCTAAACCCTAAACCCTAAGTCCAAGACCTAAATCCTAGCGAACTCCTAATCCAAGTCTCTAGAGATCCGGAGTTTAGGGGTTCCAACGGCTCTAGGCGTTTTCTACAATTAGGACATTTCCAGGTGGGTAGGTACCGTTATAAGAGCATTGTAGAAGGTCTATATACCCTTATGGAAGCCTTATAGAAGCCCTATATACCCTAAACTCCCCACCTGTAGTTTCCTCTACTTACTACTTCCGATGACGCTAGGGCTTGGGTTTTCACAGACAAACACCCGTACCGGAGTAGTTCCCTAAACCCTAAACCCTCAACCGCTTTTCACCATGTTTCAGGGCTTCAGAGCTCCAGGATTCAGGGCTTTAGGGTTGATGGTTGAGGTTTTTTTGGTTTGGGGCATTGGGTTGAGGTCTTAGGTCATAGGGTTCAGGGTTCAGGGTTCCCTAAACCCTAAACCCTAAACCCTAAACCCTAAACCCTAAACCCTAAACCCTAAACCCTAAACCCATTAGGCTTGAAGTTTCGGGGCTTGGGCTCCAGCTTTGAGGGCTCCACGGCTTTCGGAATTCAGGGCTTGGGTTTGGTAAGTTTTCGGGTTTAGGGTTTAGAGTGTTAGGGTTTCGGGTTTAGGGTTAAGGGGTTTAGGATTTAGGGGTTTAGGGTTTGGGGTTTAGAGTTTAGGGGTTTAGGGTTTGGTAGGTTTTGGATTTATCTCCTTTTAGGCTGTACTCCCCAGAGCCCTTAAGCCTGCAACCTGAAGCCGTAACACAGAATCCCAAAACCCTTCATCTTGTCCCGGAACTCCGTCCCTGAATTAAAAGGGGAGGTTCCGCAAATGTGGGACCGCGATGCAGAAATTGAAGGGATATACTCATAGTGAGGACGCCTCATCGCGGACCGCATGAGCAGCACCCGATTTCCCCCAAACCATCAAAAATTAAAACGTTACCATTCCTAGACTCTTCTCGCCAAGCTTTCGGAGACCGAGAACAGCCAGCATTTGAGTTCAATGTCTCGCAGCCCGATTCGTCAACTGCCCCACCCCCACCTCACGATCCAGAGCCCAGAATGCTCCCAAGACCCAAAAACCCATAAACCCATAAACCCCAAAAACCCATAAACACATAAACCCATAAACCCATAATTAAACCCTAAACCCATAGACCTTCTCAGGGACACGCCGCGCCCGGGGCGTACGCCCGGGCTTACCTTGAGGGCCGGTTGGACCTCGAGCATGTCATGCACTTCCGTCAGGAGGCCTCGCTTCCCTGCTTGCAGGCTTCAGGCCTTTTGTGGGTGTAGGGTTTAGGGTTTAGGGTTTAGGGTTTAGGGTTTAGGGTTTAGGGTTTAGGGTTTAGGGTTTAGGGTTTAGGGTTAATTAAGGAATATACCTTAAATTATATTAGGATCCCTAATATGATTTAACTGGTATATTCCTTAATTAAGGGGTTTTGGAGTCTCTGGGTAATATAGGGCGCCTAAATAGTTACCAAAGCTAGTGTGGGGGCTCCTCATCATAATTACAGAAAGCAACATGGTACGGGCCTGCGTTTTGTGGGTTCAGGCACATGTCTACGTCTAATTAGAGTATAATATACACTAAAACCTTATTCTAATTAGTATCAAGGCCTCTATATTAGTTCTCTAAGTTAAGGGTCACTTCAAGGGTTCCTTAAAGGAAGCTATAGGAGTTTCTATAGGGTTTTTTTTATAAGGGTACTACCAGTACAAAGGTATCTCTAAATTAGGGTCCCTGTAAGGGTCCTTTTTATCAGGCTGCCGTACTATATTTGGGCCCTGCAAGGGACTCTCATTAGAGAACCCCCTAAACCCTAAACCCTAAACCCTAAACCTTAAACCCTAAACCCTAAACTCTAAACCTTAAACCCTAAACCCTAAACCCTAAACCCTGTGATTGGGACCTCAGGTTGGCTCAGACCGGCTCAGATACTGTACTTGCACCAATGCTGCCCAGAGTGCCAGGGTGAGTGTGGCACCAACCACAATGCTCAACCGGTTTAGGGTTTAGGGTTTAGGGTTTCGGGTTTAGGGTTTAGGGATTCAGCCGCGAATTACATAGCATGAGCAGCAACCGTGGCAGTTTTGGTAGACTTGGTGTTTAGTGCCTAGACTAGCAACAGCACCTGCATCAAGAGCGGGAATGCTCGTATGTCAGACCTGCCAGAACCTGAAGTCCTAAACCCTCTTGCTAAGGATCTTCGTTTGAGCTACTAGTATCTATCTCTCTATCTATCTGTGTGTCTGTCTGTCTGACTGTTTGTCTGTCTGCCTGCCTGCCTGCCTGCCTGCCTGCCTGCCTGGCTGGCTGTCTGTCTGTCTGTCTGTCTGTCTGTCTGTCTGCCGCAATATACCGAATATACCCTGCAACCGCAGCAAATCCTGTCCTTGCCCTGTTGTCCAATTTGATTTGAATGCTTTTACGGTTCGTGTGCCCTCCCATAACTCTGTTCCCAATGAAGAGGTCCCTACATTACAATCTTCGGGGCTCGATTATCTATGACCCGAAACCCCTATAGAATCAAGGGTTGAGGGTCTAGGGTTTACGGAATCCTTCAAGATCGCTTGGAGGAACTTTTGAAGTGCCCTTCTAGACAGACATGATATGGAGGTCCCTTCTGAACCCTAGCCCCGGGTCTTAGCCATGCAGGTTGGAGGGACAGGACTCTCCAGCTACCCTCATCCCCGGCTCATGCCAGGGCCTCACCTTGCAGGTTTCGGCCTTGGGGGTTAGGGTTTAGGGTTTAGGGTTTGCGGTTTGGACACTGAGAGAGCTTGTGGTTTTATTGTAAGGCTTTTGGTGGGCAGAGTGTGGCCTTAGAGGGTTTTTCTTGTGAGTTGTGAGTTGTGAACGGTGCTACGCCCAGTTGGTTTGCAATCGGTGCAACACCTTCCCCGAACCCGAAGGCCCCCGAAATTCCCAAACCGAAGCCCAACAAAGACTAAAGCCCCAAACCCTAAACCCCCAAAGCACGACAGCCCAAACCCTTAATGGGCCTAAACCCTAAGCCCTAAACCCTAAACCCCAAACCCAAAACCCCAAACCCCAAACCCTAAACCCTAAACCCCAAACCCAAAAACCCCAAACCCTAAACCCCTAAACCCTAAACCCCTAAACCCTATCCCCTCAACCCTACACGAAGACCTTGCTTAACAAGGCCCGGTGGCTGGAAATAGATACCACGGGCCGATCGCACCGGGC